GCCCTCGGCGCTAAATGGCGACGGGTGCCCGAAACCGACACACACTCATCGCGCGGCCCCGCCCCTCGCCACTCTGAGCTTGCGTTGCTGCCGCGGGGCTCGCCGGGAGATCGAGTTTTCTAGGCTGGGCTCCGCCGCGGCCCGAGCCCCGCGCCGGCCTACGGCTCCCGTGGTGCACCGCGCCGGTGCAAGGCAGCGCGGGAGTCGCAGTTCAGCGGCGCCTTCGTGCTGGGCCGGGGCTCTCGCACAATGCGGGGGGGTGGGGCAGGCCGGGCGGCAGCCCTCAGGGCGCAATTCGTACCGCGCACCGTTGTGGCAGGTCTCACCTCCGCTTTTTGCTATAAACCTTTGGAGAAGTCCCTGATTCGGGTTGGGGATGAGCAAATCCAAGAGGATAAAGAAGCTGGAAGAGGTTCTTTCCAAAAAGACAATCTGAGGGCGGAAAATGATGGATGGTCTTGGGTTTCTTTATGAATGTCAAGAAAAAAATAGGTAGTGCAAGGTTCCCTGGGTAAATCTGATATCTTTTATTAAACCAGCTCAAATAGTTTGAGTTGGTCTAATAAAAGGTACCAGATTTACCCAAAGAACCTGGTCTGCCTATGTCCTCAGACCAACATGGCTACAACCTAGACCCCATAAGAAAAAATAGGTAGTGCAAGAGCAAGGCTGTCATCGGACAGCCCAGGACTGACAGCAGAAGCAAAGGTGTCTCGGGGCACTATGTTTTATTGGGCCCGCTCCATGCTTAGGATAAATCCGAGGAGCTTTCGCACACAGGACACTGCCCCACTCCTTGTGATCAGACCTGAGGAAGAAAGTCTTGCATTGGAAAACTTGTCTAACTTCATCCCAATGACAGAGCGGGGCCTGAGACATCCTTACCCCCCTCTACCCCAAAAAGGGTTGTTTTTGGTGTGGTTTTTTTCATTTAATCCCAAATCTGCCTGTTCTATGTTTTCAGCTTGTGCAGCTGGCACAGCCATGGACAGATCTAGAATTTTGAAAAGGAAGGTGCAGTGATGAGGTGCATCGTCATGTAGAAAACAACACCTATTTTTCCACGCTTAAAAAAAAATCTAGAAGCTTTACCAATATCCTTGAGGCTGAGGGCTGCATTATTCAGTGTAGGATTGAAGCAAAAAACAAACATAACGTCACTGGAAGATGAGTTAAAAACCACCTGCACGGCTGAGACGCTGGAGCTTCGTTACCAGGAGCAGCTAACAGACAGCAGACTTGCAGAACAAAGGCTAGCTTGATTGGTGGAATATCCAGACCATTAACATAGTGAAATGAAAGATAGATTATAATAAGCCATGGAGTCAGTTGACTCCCTCTGTACTGCTTAACTAGAAATGCTGCTGCCAGTGCCAGGCAGTTGGCTTGAAACTTTGGGTGGAGCAGGCATCAAAGCGGGGTGTAAGTGCACCAGTGCATTCCCTTGGATCTACCCCTGGGCACAGCCCTGGGGACCAGCCCTCAGTTTCTACCCCTGCTCTGGCACCGAGTAGTTCTGTGGCAGTGCAGTCTTCAGGTTGGGCCTGAGCCTCTGAGAGTGGTGAAGCTGGCTGAAACCAACCTGGAAGAAAAGTGAAACTTATTGGTGATGTTTTGTTAATTTGCACAAACCTAGTGCAGGCCCATAGTTAAGCATTAATAGCACAGGGTGCAACAGTTTATAAAATCAGTTTCATAAAGAGGAGTCCCATGTAACACAGGTAAATTTATCTAATCTGTGGGCTCAGTCCTGAAAAGCCCTTTGCTCTCTGGCCCTAGCCCAACAAAGCATTTAAGTAGCTGCTTTCAGTTCTGAGGTAAGCCAACCATTGGATATTTAGGATAAAGCCCTGAGGCCCTTAAAAGTGGTGTTTTGAGTGACCTCTTTCCATGAGAGAAGATTTTTGGTTTACGAATTAAACATTCAGCTTTCTATTTTCACCCAGGTCTCAGCCCCATTTTGCTTCCTTAAAATCATGGGTACAAATCACAATGGGTGCTGTGGTACACTCGCAATATTTTTTGTCTCAGTTTTCTTTGCTTAGGCATGCGGACACAGTCAGCTACTGAGATACAGAAGTGATATACACTGTAGGTGCAAATGACTGCTATGCAAATGTGTGCCCCACATTATTTTGCAGCTCCAAAAAGTCCAGCATTTGCAAATCTTGCCATTAAGATCATTATTCTTGCCCCATTTGAGTCACAACCTGGCTTGTTGTATTGAAAACGAAGAGTATGCAATGGAACAGCAATAGAAGGCGGTGGGAACTCTCACACAAATCAGGGACTTCCAAGGCATCAGAACCAGTGATACAGAACATTCATTTGGTATATTTTTATCATCTTCCTCTTTTGTATTAATATCACGACTAAGCACTTTTGTTCTGACTCATAAGAGCTGTCTATCATAGTCAATGGGAGTACCCTTATGAATAAGAAGGGAAGGAAATGCCAGTGGAAATGAAGTAATACAGGCTTGAACATAGGGTAGCAACCACAGCTCTCAAGGGACCTTGTTGCATACTCTACTTGCCAGCCTGTACTTGTGGTTCTTCACTGGTATTGTTAACATTGCTAGCTAAAGTAAAGTTAACATTGGAATGCCTGCCTGCCTGCTCTGCAGTCATATCTTCATTTTGCTCTATAGGCATACTCTGTGTGTGTGGGTAGCAATCAGGCTACAGGCAAAACTTAAAGTTATACCTCAAGATAAGGATGCAGTGAAGGCAAATCCAAAATCTCCAGGTATAGTGTTCCTTCTTTTGCAATGCAATAAGTGCAGCTCCACTGGGCAAAAGGTGGGGAAGAATTTGGGAAGAGCAGACCATTTGCAACCCCTGAAATGAACACCACACTGTTGGAGTTCCCAAATTATTGTTATACATGGGATCCTGTGGGAAAGACAGGACAGGGATATAGAAGACTTTATGCAGACGGTGCCATAGCAACTAAATTTGGAGCCCAGGGCAAAGCTCACAGCGGCAGCCTGCCCTCACCCCACACACAAATCCAGGGGAAACCCCCCCCCCCCACCGCCATGCTTGCCTGGGACTGCACGCAGTGGTGGGAGCCGCCCTCCCCTTGTCCCCATGTCCCCCCAAACAAGCCGCTTATGGCTCTGTCCTGCACCCCACCCCGGCTGGGCAGCTTTTGTTGGTTCCACTACACTTCAGCGCCTGGGGCAGTCACCCAACTCGCTGCCCTCCCCCTGCCGTTATGGCACATATGCAGATTCTCCATTTTTTCCCCTCTGCTGGGTCCAGCTGGGCTGCACACTGTCCCAGCTATTAAGCCCAATCAGCAGCTACAAAATGGCTCTGCTACAGCTCTGAGGCCTGGGAGGCATGTCTCCCTTTTTTCCCTTGATACAGATCCCCAAACCACACCTCAATTATTCTGATCCGTGCTGAGAAAGAGACATGGAGTCATATTTGTCCCAGCCTTTTCCCAGTAACTCCAGGCTTATGCAATTGAAGTAACACCAAGATAAATCAAGCCCCTGGGTCTTAACATAAGGTTTAAGTGGTGTTTGTATGGCATGTATAGGCTCTCTGCACACAAGTGAATTTCACCTACAGTAATTAAATATTTTTTCCAGCCTTAATTAAGCAAAGCCCTTTTACAAAGGATTTGAAGCCTTACACTGTCTAACCTCAAGGAGGCCTAGGGCTGTCTCTCATCAGAAATGCTGACCATTACCCAAATTAGGTACCACCCCCAAGGATCTGATCCTACAAATGCTTAAGCACACGAGCAATCCCTTTAAAGTCAAATGCAGTGATCTGAGAATGGTGATTTCCAGTGGAGCCCAAATTCTTAACTCTACTCACTAGCACCTCTGCTCCTGAGAGGTGTGAATAGCACTCTGTGCCAGATGTGTCTGGTGAGAAGCTTTAGGACCGGGGTGGGCAAAATACAGCACGGGGGCCAGATGCAGCCCACCAGGCCATTCTATCTGGCCCACGGGGCCCCTGAAAACTTAGAAAATTAATTTTAATCTTACCTGGGCTGCCTGTCATGCAGCCCTCAATGGCTTGTCGAAACTCAGTAAGCAGCCCTCTGCCCAAAATAATTGCCTGCCCCTGCTTTAGGATCTGACCTGGAGGTGGGAATTCTGGATTTTGTCTTTTCTGTCTCTGAAAAGTCTACACTGAATGATTGCGCATCTCTGTGTAATGTGGGTGGTTTTATTATTATTATCTGTGAGTGTGTTTCTTTCATAATAGATGCCCTCCTACTGTGGGTATTTTTACATTTCAGGGTTTTTGTTTCCACTGTAGTTCAATTTTCTGTTCTCTTAATCTGTCCAACTGTATTTAGGTTAAGTGGGAATTTACTTTTCAATGTTGCTGCAAAATGTCATAAAGTATCAGCATAAAATAGTCACAGACCCTCATTTAAACATTTACAGAAATTAAGTACAGAATATGGGTAGATTTATTAAGGGCCTAAATATTTACCTTTCAAGGCTGATCTGCACTGGGGAATAGGAAGCTCTGCTCTAGCACCACAGGTTAGACCAATTACAGCTTTGAAAGACAGAAAATGCCTCTTAGAGTACTGAGTGACATACTCCATGTTACAAAACAGATGTGACCAGAGTTCGCCCTCCTGCAGCAGCAGTGTTGACAGGATCATGGCCTTGCACTAGCCTTGGCACAAACACACTTCCTCTAAGGCTCTATCTACTGCTGCCTATTGACCAGATGTTAAGAGGACAGCATATGGTAGCAGAGGTTATTCATGTGACCCTTTCCCAGAGCATCCAATGAAATTTTCCAGCCTGCAGCTTATTCTGGCTCCTCTGTCTGTGTGAGATGCTGGATAGAGGATATAGACTTAAATATTTATAGTAGTTTCTACTAGGTAGGGGTTGATTCTCCTTGATTCTCAGGTGTAGCCACATTCTACTTGGCACAGGCCTTGAGGGGAAGGAGAGGAATCTTAACACTACCTTTTCTGAATTTTTCTGGAATCAGGTTATACAGCTCAAAGGGTGGACTTGAGTTGCTCCTGGCTGCCAGGGCCCCAAGGATTGCTCTCTCTCAATCAATCTTTATCATGACTATGGCCCTGCAGACTCTCGGCATCAGGCATTATATACCATTGCTGCCTGCACCAAACAGGGACTGGTGGCTAAATTCATCAAGTTTGCAAGACCTTTGTCTGGATGGGGCCAGCATGACAGGGCCATAGCACTACAGTGACTCTGGGCTACTATAGCCAATTGTAAAACCCTCAGTGACTTCAAGGTACAGGATTAAATCCTTAGTACAGAGCATATCCACATATCTTAGGAATGACTCATTCCCTCTCAGCAACACATCACCAGTAAAGGGACTCTATTAAATGAAAATATAATCAGAAAAAAAAATAGCTTCAGGTACTACAGCAGTCCCTGAGCTCCCTTGCCAGCTTTTGTGGCTTAACAATACATTTTTCCTATTTTTCAAAAATGTTTTC